CGAGGCGCGGGCCGGGGGGCGGGGGGAATCACAACTTGCAGTAAAATCATGCTTGACCATTAGCAGCTCGATATAGGTACCATCTGTCATTTCAAGATCTTGTTATTGTTTCACATATTTCCGACTTGAACTGTCATCACGTTCCGGCACATAGCTCTACATTTGTACAGTAGTAATGAACATGACTCCTGTATGCATTTGGTGACCTAACATATCAATCAATCCATTTTATTTTGGTCATAGACCAGCATAGAACTAATAACATAACCATTACACTAAAATAGAAATAAAAATAAAAAGTTATATTGATAGGATAAAATAAGGTGAAGATAAAATTATTAACATAAAATTATACACTCCAAAAATTGGAATACAAAAGAATTCTATAAAATTACAATTAATTTTACAATGAATAATCCAAATGCTAGAAATAACTGGGATAGATAACTATAAAAGGACTTAACCGATATTTTCGTTGACTGATTTGATTTATATCTGTAGAGGAAAGAGGGAATGGCCTTGAAGGACAGGAGGAAGAGCTGCTACCAAGGCAATGGTCAGATAAGCGGGGCCTGAGACCAGCGGAAGAATGTAACCTGAGAAAACATCTCAGACTTGACCCTCCCTAGTTCACACAAAGATAAAGGCGGTGGGAGGAAAGCACATTCAGACTTGCAGGATTCTGTTACAATAAAAGTAGTCCTGACCTAAATGACATTGGTTTCTTAGTCTGGTCTACCTTGTAGGGCTGACAATATTGCATAATTTATCCACCAAGCACCCAGCAGAGTGCTGGGTGCTTAATGCTCCCCACATGGCTATGGGAAAGGAAGCAAAATAGGATGACCAGTAGAATGAACTCCTAGAGCAGCTCCCCCCCTTTTTTTTGCAGGGTTGCTCTAGGAGTTTGTCTCTATGTCAGCAGAAGGAAGAGAGGAGCTGATTGGATTCAGCTATTTGTACATCAAACTAAGCCTCTCTTATTACAATTAAGTGTGTACAGGGCCATTGTGTGGATGGTGTTCAGGTTTCCTTTCAGTTAGTGTGAGAAGTTATGTGATAAACAAGCCACAGTCCTGAAGCCTAGGAGGACATAAAATGAACTCCATAGCTGGATTGGACCAAAGACCTGTTTGGATAAAATTGGTATTACAGAGCAGGCGGCTTCAAGAAAATTCACAAGCATATCCTTAGGACAACAGGGTCTTCAAAGGTCCCTTGCTAGCAACTACTATTTTTGACAGTCATTCAAATGTTATTGAGAGCCACTTTGATGTACAGGGAGTCCCCAGTTTAAGAATGAGTTTCATTTCCAAAGGTCTGTCCTTAAGTTGAATTTGTATGTAAGCCAGAACAGTATTATTGTATAATACTGTATAAGTAGTATTGTGTAATGAACTCGAACCATTGTACATTTAACTCAAATCACTGTGAATTTAACTTGCATTTTGCTACAGTAGGCTCCATTTGTACCTAAGGGTCATCCTTAAACCAGGCATTCTTAACCTGCGGACTACCTGTAGTGGTTAAGGCATCATATATAAAATGGTTTAATCATCATCATCATCATCATCAGGCTAGAAACTGGGAGGCCGTGAGTTCTAGTCCTGTCTTGGGCACAGAGCCAACTGGGTGACTCTGAGCCAGTCACCCTCCCTCAGCCCTAGGAAGGAGGCAACGGCCAACCACTTCCGAAAAACCTTGCCAAGAAAACTGCAGGGACTTCTCCAGGCAGTTGCCAGGAGTCATCACTGACTCGAATCCCCCCACCTCCCATGTTACTGCATATGGCAAAAGGCCATCGCAAACTTTTATGCAAAATGCATTTCAGCTTAGTTCCCTGTATTATAAAAGTGGTTTCCCATTGATTTCTTCCAGGATGTTTTTCGACTTCCCAATCTATCTACCCTGCTACGATTTCTGTATAATCTCTTATCCAAGTACTAACCAGATCCAGCTGTTTAAGGCAAAAAGTAGAGCTGAAATTTCCATGAAACCAGATAAGGCTAAGAGAAGAGGGCATAAACATGTCTACTTTTCAACAATTGTACAATAGCCAGCATTTAAGGCTTGTCCCCATCAATGGCCTGATGCTCATCAAATTTGTGCAGAAGTGGGGGCATTAAAAGTTCTTATGGTAACATCAGAAGTTCTACAGTGGTTCATTTATATGGCAGCTGGATTGCTGTCCGATCTCAAGATGTATCATCATGATGTTGTTATTTAAAAAATGAAGTCTGTGAAAGAACCGTGTGTGGAGGACAGAGTGTGTGTGTGTGCGCGCTAATATCCAGCCGTGACAGTTTTAAAAACAAAAATATTGATCCCATTTTGTGCCTTGAGGTTCAAGGATGAATGAAGGTCTGAAAACACAAAAAGCTTTTATTCCAGTAGAATTATAATGGACAAAATTAATTTCTCAATATGCGATGAGTTCTCTTCCGCTTTCAGCCCCATGAAAACTTGGCAATTTGGCTTTGCATGCCTGCTTTTTAAATATTGATATAGCAGTTCACATAAAACCAATCAATTCTGATATAGTTGTAGGGATACATGGCGGGTATTTATCACCGCCAGCAATTGAGTAGCAGTATATTTGGTGTGGTAAATAAACATCCCAAATAAACAACATGTAAAGGAATCTGGAGATAATCTTGATGCAGGAACGGATGAGCCTTAAGGGAGGAAAAACAACAATTCGGCAAAGTGGAAAGCGTGAGAAAGACACTCAAAACGCCCACCTTGATTCTGTTTGGTATAAGAGGGAGGGAGAGAGGAACCTTGGCAGGCTTTCAAAATTTTGTTATTATATTTATAAAAAGTAGCATTCCTGGAATTCTTGTGCTATCGGTTTCCTGACCTGGCCTATCTCAGAAGGCCAACACAACAACAGATAACTTTCCGGCACAATGCACATTTCTTGATTGGTCAGTTATTTGTGGAACT